TTCATATTTTTTTCTTTTTCTCCCTTTCTTATTCCCTCCTTCCCCACCCTCCCTCTCTTCCTTCATTTCTTTCTTCCCAAAGAAAATCCAGAAAATCCAATCCTTAAATCAACTGCTTGATGAAGGAGGCAAAACAAAGGCAGCAGAAGATAATGTGATTGGTGCACAAAAGCTAAAGCAATGGCTGGGGCTTTGTTTTTAAGTTTTGGGGTTTTTTTGTTGTTGTTAATGAGTGGAAAGAGAGACATAATGACAGCTGATGTTAAACTTTCCGTATTTCAAATTAGATTCCCTAGGAGGTATAATATATATTTCTTGAGTAATAATGTGGTTACAGAATTCCAGTGTTATAGTGAAGTGCAATGAAAAACATCTCTAGGTATGTGCTTTAACCACTGCTGTAAAAGAGACAAGTCTGCATTTATTTGTGCAGGAAACCAGCTATTTAATTGTTCTAAAGTTTTAGCATTTAAAAATCGTATGAAAGTCTACATCAGCTGAAATCGTCCTAGCTTCATAATCACTTGGAGGGGGACTTGGAAGGTAAGAAAGATACTGCATTTTCTCATGACTCTCCAAGCCCACTTGAAAAGTCACACTGAAAGGATGCAAATAGCCGTCTGCGATTTTGGCAGCCCACCGGATTGTGGTGTCAATATGTTGTACCCGGACATTCCCAAATTTAAATTTGGCAATGAAAATTCCACAAAGATTTCTGATAACTTTGAGCTATAAATACCTTAAAAATAATAGATTGATGATTTTCTTTATTTCCTAGAGAATTTATTTTATAAATACTTTGTTTACATTTTAGATTGTATTTGTCCTTATTTAATTTAAAATGATGAATCTAGTCTGAATCAGCTGTTATTCCAAGCTATCATGCTTAAGCTATGTCAACAGCATTTATTTGTACTAATGCTAATATTTCCATCAAAATTTGCCTGTGGAATATATATAGTTCTTAATTTTAAACTGTCAGTTCTTGAGATATACTGTATGAAGCTATTGTCAGCTTCTCTATTTCAAAATGCAATCAGCATATAACTATATTGATATTAGAAAATATTTGTTTTTTAAAATGTATCGATGTATGATAAAGATGATCTAATTTGTGAATGCATATGTGTGTGTGGTTCCTTTTTATAATGTGAAATAATGAATAATGAATTTACTCAAAATAAAACATAGGTTAATGAGATACCTGTGTTTGTGAAAAAAGTTTTAAATACTCTCCTGCAGTTTTTATTCTGTAATTAAAGAGTAAGATAGTTCAGTTTTAGGTAGTGAATAAAAGAAATGTACCAGTGTCAACTATAAGAGCATAGTTACTCAGTGTGAGACCTTTTCATACCATTTGTTTTCCTTTTTCCTTCCATATGGCTTCTTTTTTGGCTATTTTTAGTGATTCTTCGTAATATCCTTTGCCAAAGGACAACCAGGTAAATGGAATTGTTACTACTCGTTTTGTCAGTAGTTAAAATTCAGTAGGTATGAGAAATTTGACAGTACTGGTTAAAGTAATCAGTACACTCGCTGTGGATTTCATTTAACTGTTTTCATCATGTCTCCTACTAGCACCAATAATGTGGAACTGAATATATTAAGATCTGGAGAATTTGGTACAGAATGAGACATCAAAATTGCATCAGTTTTTTTGGTGCTTTGATTCATAGCATTCTATTAATTTAATAAAATGGAGAATTTCAATTTATTTGTTATAATAAATTTAGCAGAATTATAAGCTTTTACTTTCCCATGATGCAAATGGGAGAAGGGAAACTGATTTGACAGAGAAAAACAACTACTGCTTATAAAGTTCAGGAATGTAGAGCAGTCAATTGCAATCTTAATCCTAGGTATTAAATTATCAAAACCGTTAATCAAAATTACTTTTGGAAGTTTTTAACAGAACATGACGTTTCCTAAAATCTTTGAAATATTTGTTAAAATTATATTTCCAAGGACAGATATGTAGAAACAGGATAAAAAGCAAATTAGTGACAGTTATGAATATCTACATGTATCTCCATTTATATCAAAAACAAGATGGATACTTTTGTGAAAGTTCTCAGTTTAACAACTTATCAATCCTTTAAACTAGTTGTATGGCAAAGAAAAATCTCCCTCCATCTGTAGCTGTAGGGAAAAGGGACATCTTCATCATCATTTTGTTAATTACCAAAACTTGCATTTTAAGAATAAGTCCAAGAATTTCACTAGTTAGCCTTACAGCTAACTGTAGAGTTCACTGTTATTGCAGAAATGGAGATAGGTCTATAAAGGATTTACTTAATAGAGGTTAAATAAGAAGCACATGAAATTTTTCTTTATTACCTCATACACATTTTAAAAAATCATTTCTATTATTTGACTTCCTGAGCTTGAATATCTTAGTCTGGAGATGAGTCAGTTTTGCCATACAATTAGTGGATATATGAGAAATCTTCCAATTGAAATGAAACAGGCTCTTCAACTGGAGTAGAAGTTTTACAATGAGGATAAAATGAATTAGATTAAGTCAGTAACCTGTTCTTAGTTGTTACAGCATGTATATGTGCGAATGTGTGGTTGAGTGTGTCTGTGTAGGAACAATTTTTAAGACTCGACACTTGGCCGGGTGTGGTGTCTCACGCCTGTAATCCCAGCTTTGGGAGGCCGACGCAGGCGGATCACGAGGTCAGGAGATCAAGACAATCCTGGTTAACATGGTGAAACCCTGTCTCTACTTAAAATACAAAAAATTAGCCGGGTGTGGTGGTAGACGCCTGTAGTCCCAGCTACTTGGGAGGCTGAGGCAGGAGAATGGCATGAACCTGGGAGGCAGAGGTTGCAGTGAGCCAAGATCGTGCCATTGCACTCCAGCCTGAGCGACAGAGCGAGACTCTGTCTCAAAAACAAAACAAAACAAAAAAACTCAACACTTACATATAGTGACGACTTGTACAGTGTTAAGATTTTCCCCGCTCAGTTGGAAACCCCAAATTTGTGTGTGTGTGTATTTGTGTGAGGTAAATTACATTTTTTATTGGTCTGCATTTTTCTGTCATGCCTGTGTACTCGGGAAATCTGAAACTGAGTGTCTTAGGAACTTCTTAAAGCAAATATGGGGGAACATTAAAAAGTATATTTAAAACATAGAATAGGTCCATTTTCTACCTTAAAGAGTAGTATGTTAAATACAATTATTATGCTGTTGTTGCTTTGCAGTGTATATGGTGGAAAGAAGGCAGGAGTTTTTTATCTGCATGCTGTATGAATCCTTCAATAATAATGTACCTTTTTATAACTGGGTTTGGCCATATTGATTTCAGTGAGTATTGTGCTCTCACAGACTTAATTTTCCAGATTTCATCTCTTAAAAGTGGGAAATTTGACTGGATTCTACTTTATTCCTCTACTATTTTTCCACAAACAAATCTGACTAATTGAACACAAACAGGGTGACTTAAGAATGTCAGTTAGAGTTAGTCCTCTGTCTTTGGCCCTCTAGGGCCTAGAATTGCCTGTCCCTTTATAAGTGTCAATTAGTGTTGTTGGAATGAATACAGGAATGAATTTTATTTTATTAATATGCAGTCTAAGTACTGACTTTTCATCATTCCAAAACCTGGAATTCCAAAACCTGGAATGATGAAAAGACTGTATTTAGGCTGCATATTAATATTATTACCTATTCACATTACTCTGGATTATATTAAATAATCAATAAATGAATTTTAGATTTTTTTAAACGTTAGATAGCAGACAGACAGAAATCCAATTAGGCATTTAATTAACATAGTTGACACTGTTAAGTTAGCTCTATTCAGGATTCTCTGCATATGGTCTTTCCTGTTTCTGTGACAGAAAATGACTGCCTAAGGAAGATCAGGGATATTTACAATTTCCCTTTTCACCCTCGGACAAAGTTTGTACTTATATTCTGTTTAACCCCCATGGGTAGCTATAGTTCATGCTGTTTACCTAGTCCCCATCAGATGTTTTAGATGGAAGGAAGGAAGAGTAAAAAGGGCTTGGAGACTAGACTCAGGAAAGGTAGGCCTCTAGCTGCCATTGCCACACTGGAAGACCTTGGACAAGTGTTTTCTTCCCACTGGTATATAAGGTATGACTTATCCACTAGATGCAGAAGACACAGTGCCTAAGGCCGACAGTACTGTAAGGGCCCATGAAGGTGTTTTCCTTATCGCCATATGCTAGACAAGTAACTCTGAAGCCAGATACGCAATTTCAAAAGACGAATATATTCATCTTTCTACCAATGCAGCCATAAAACATATATATCTTCATGAAGGAAAGGAGTCTATGAGGTTAAAAGTGCCTAGGGCCCATGAAAATAAGAATGTGGACCTGATTCTGGGTCCCTCTTTCTTTCCTTTGTAAAATGAAGGTATTGAACTAGATGATCTGTGGTTCAGCCAATGCCTCTGCCAAGCGATTTGATGCACCGTGGAAGTAGATGCTGTGATCAGGACTAATTAGAGCTATTTTTCTTCTGATGTCAGTCAGCAATAAATGACTCCATAATAGATTAAAATGAAACACTTATGTTGCACCAGAGAGAAGTAAAGAGAGAGAAGCACATGACTCAAGGAGATAAAGCCCAAAGGCTTTATTAATCAAAATTACTTTTGGAAGTTTTTAACAGAACATGACATTTCCTAAAATCTTTGAAATATTTGTTAAAATTATATTTCCAAGGACAGATATGTAGAAACAGGATAAAAAGCAAATTAGTGACAGTTATGAATATCTACATGTATCTCCATTTATATCAAAAACAAGATGGATACTTTTGTGAAAGTTCTCAGTTTAACAACTTATCAAGTTGTTAAAGGCTTTGGGCTTTATCTCGACATAGTGTTCTCATCTACAACTTTTTAAAAATCCAAATATGTGAGGAACAGAGAAAAGATATTCTACCCAGCCAGTCTTCAGCCAAATAACTAAGGCTGTTAGAAACAGGCTTAAAATACCAGACAGATTACACAAACATCTTAAAAAAAAATCAATGTAATGCTTTTGTAGTAGTCCTCCCTTATCCATGGTTTTGCTTTCTGTAGTCTCAGTTAACTATGGTCAACCATGGTCTGAAAACATTAAATAAAAAATTCCAGAAATAAACAATCTAAAAGTTTTAAGTGGCATGCCATTCTGAGTAGTGGGATAGAATCTTGCATCGTCCTGCTCTGTCCCACCCAGGATGTGAATTCTCCCCTTGCCCAATGTCAGTTTGACTGTTAGGGTATTGCAGTGCCTGCATTCAAGTAACTTATTTTACTTAATGTTGTTATTACTGTTGTTAATCTCTTACTGTGCCTAATTTATAAATTAAACTTTATCATAGGTATGTATGTGTAGGAAACAATATATATAAGGTTCAGCACTGTCCACCGTTTCAGGCATCCACTGGGGGTCTTTGAATGTATACCCCTCAGATAAGTGGGGACTACTATATTTGAGAACACCCTAAACTAGTTAAGAACAAAAGGAACACTATCCCCTGCCATCCATTGCTGGTATCTTGTGTGGATTTGATACCTCAGATTCAGCATCTACTGCAGCACGAAGTGCTTATGCATGTCCTGAATTATAGGAGAGTCGGATTCACCATCCTTCCCAGAAACAGAAGCATTCCAGAGGTTTCTTCATAGATCATGAAATGAAATGGCCGGTTCACTTTGATGACAGGAGGCATGGAATAAGCAATAATTTCTGACAAGGTTCCTGCCACTGCCTCAGTGCCCCTTTCATCAACTTCAATCACTGTTCTTTGTAACACCTGGAAAAGGAAATAGTGTGAAAAACCATTTGTGTGGCAGTGCAAAGGAGGAATTAAATGAGCCCCTTGAAATTCTTCACAGTGGTCCTACCCATGGGATCATGCTACTGGGATTTAGTGGAGCAGGCCCATCTACATTAAGAGCAGTGGTCTGGGGTTTCACCAGGGACTGCACAGGAGTCTCCAACAATACCAAAAGACCTCAGGAACCCAATGTGAAGTATTGTGGAATATGTGAAACACATTCCAGGCATGGACTCAGGATGCATTCATGCATCAAATCTTTATTGAGCGTGTGCTTTATACTACTAATTGTTGAGCTGAGCTGGTGCTCCTAAAAGGTTTTCAAGCTGCCTGGATCCCTTGAGTCCTCTTGACTTTCCTTTTGGCAGGCAAGGTGGAGGCAGGGAATGGCTAGTCTTCCGTATCAGCTTCCCAGCACCTGGTACTACTCTGAGGCATTTTCTGGGCCAAGCCCAGGGGTCCCTGGAGCCTTCCTGAATTCTGGCTGCCTATATTGTGGCTGCTTGCTATGTTTGGGAGACCCTTTTTTACAGAAACAGGATGTGATATGAGTGATGTACCTATATAATTACTGTGTTATAATAGAGAATAAAAACATACACTGATTTTCACTCCAGGAAATTCCCTAATTTCCTAGAGGAAAATTAACTCCCCAGAGCAAATAGAGGGAGAATATTTAATGGTCTACAATTTAAATTTCATGATGACCCTTTGTAAATCAGCAGTGCATTTCAGTTTTTCATGTGTTCATAGCAGAAACACTTTCAGGTGCTGGTCTGCAGGGTTGTTTTATTTAATTGTCTTATCTCTCTTGAGGTGGTAAAACCTGATTCCAGGCCATGGTTACCCTACTGTGTCCCACTTAAGTGGATGCCATTTTTAGTCTCTCTTGGAATTGAAAATTGCAATTGTAAGATAAAATATTAGCCAAACCACACAACTAAGGAAGAATGTAGAGAGATGTAGCTGCCATTTGGAAATGTGTGGGAGCATTTTTATAGTGATGCTGGAGTTTCCTACTGGCATTAGTGAACATGGATCAGCAGTGCTAACCAGTTCCCTGCAACATGCACAACTGCTCTGAACAACAAGCAGTTCCCCTCAAAACCAAGAACCTTTCTACTGAGAAACACTGAGTAACTGAAGGGATTCTATGTGGATGGTGACTAAATTTGTTCTTAGTTTTAGAAATAGAACTAGGACCAAAAAGTATGAGGTAGAAGTTACAGGTCTCTCTCTCTCTCTCTCTCTCTATATATATATATATGTATGTATGTATATATGTATATGTGTATGTATATATAAACAATTTTAGCTATTGTGGATTAGGCAGCTTTTCAAAGAAATGGTGAGTTTGCTGTCACTGGAAGCATGAAGAGGAAGAGACAGAAGTTGGAGGGCTATTTCATAGGGCTATGGAGGGGATTTCCACAAGGAGGGAGAAGTTGGGCTAGATGATGTCTAGGGGTTTCTTTCATTGTAAAGGTGGTGTAATTTCATGAACTATTCAAGTTGTATTCAACATAAATGATGACGTATCTGTAAACCAGTTCTATTTCAGGGGCAAATTTCTCCCTGAGCACTTAAGCAGAAGGAGAGAGATCTACTTAAAATAAATTAGTTGAAAAGGTATTTTAATAAAGTTGCTTGAAATTCTTAAAACATCCAACCTGGGTGCTATTTCAAGTATTTGGGATGTAAATATAATTTTCCACTACACTTAGGTATTTTATCAAAGTTAAATGGTTTGTAAAAACATTTGTTTTGGTGACATTTCATGCTGAGGTTGGGCTCTGATGAAAGATCCTGACTTACCCTGGATACTTGGAGATTTCTTCCAGTAGCTGAGAGTTCACTAAGGTCAGCCCAGGGTGAGAAGATTCTTCTGATTCCCATCTGCTTAAGCAGCTCATGCATCTCATACTTCTGATCTAGCTTGAACTTTGGAAAGAAAACTTCCATGTTTCTGTGGTACGAGAACAGATAATGGTGAAATGTAGACAAAGCCATAGTCTATGGACACCAAAAAGGTCACAATTTTTGTTCTTTAAGATTGTTTCCATTAATGAGTCTTTCAGTTGACTATGAAGTTCATGCCATTCTTTTACAATTTCCTATCTCAAGGAAAATATTTCTAGCTTATCAAATAGTACTTCAGCTTCAGGGAACAAGTTTTATTCCTCAGCCAATGACTCACATTCTCTTTAGCAAAGTACTTATGTGTTCATTTCCCTATGTTTTAAAAACAACCTGAGATAACAGCTGCTTTCAGCAATCCTGCAGACTCCTGGATGATGACTGTTTTCAGCTCCTGGATTCTGCAGACCCAAGGAGTCTGGGGATGGATGGGAAGGGAAACAAAGAAAACTTTAAACCTCTCCCCATCTTTAGCCAGAGAAACTCTGATACCATCTATTTTGTATACTGGAGTCCTCCTTTGAAAATATGTTGCTTGGAAAGATGAGTTCTGTGGCTCAAAAAAAAAAAATAATTGAGGACATGACGTATCTTGAAGATTAATTTATAAAGTTATTCATTCAGCAAACATTTCTTGAGGGCTTATGATGTTTGGGGTTCTTTGTTAGGTGCTAAAGATATGAAGAAAAATGAAAGAAGAATAATGAAGATAAAACTAACCCTGGGGACCTTTAGCTGGACTCGTCTCTGCCAAAATCTGAGTCACAGGATTCAGAAGCCATAGCCATGGAATTTATATTGCAGCCATTTTCCTTGTACTCCAATAGGTGTATTAACTTACTGGGCAGACATCTGAGTGCCCACTCTGCTTTCTGTTCCTCTCCTCTCTATGTACAGACCCCAACCCTGTCATGCGTCTAGATTCTAGTTCTATGCTGATGACTGAATTTATATCTCCGGCCTGGACCTCACCCTAGACTCCAGATCCACCTGTCGTCTTGACAGCTTAACTTGGATGTCTAATAGATATTTCTGATCTAAGTGTTTAAGACTGAACTTCTGCACTTACCCCAGACCTGTTCCTCCCCATTTCAGTAAATGGCAAATCTGTCCTTCCAGTTGCTAAGGCCAAAAACTTTGCAATCACCTTTGACACCTCTCTCACCCACATGCAGTCCGTTAGCAGATCCTGCCAATTCTCACTTCCTGATAGATCCAGAATCCAGCAACTTCTCATCACTTCCACTACCACTACCACCACCGCAGTCCAGGTAGGAGCATCTCTACCTGGATTGCTAGTAACCTTCTAACCAGTCTCCCTTGCTTCCATCCTTACCCCCTAGTATCTTTTATCAACACAGGAGCTTATGTGATCCTTTAAAAACAGAAGTCAAATCAGGTTGCTCCTCTACTCAGAACCATCCAGTGGCTTGCTGCTTCTCCCAGGAAAAGCCCAAGTCTTTTCTGGGGACTGTAAGGTGGGATCCTGGTGACTGGGCCCCTGGTTCCACTCTGATCTCATCTCCAACTGCTGAAGCTACACTTGCCTCCTTGCACTTCTTCAAACCCACCAGGTACACTCCCATCCCAGAACTTGTACGATTCTGCCTGTAACATAACATTTCTCTCCCCGAATATATCCACATGGTTTATCCTTCATCTTCAGATGTTTGCTTACTGTTACCTTCTTGGAGAGGCCTTTCCTAACGTCCATCTGCATCCTGATGATGCTCCCTGTTCCCTTCCCTGCATTATTACCTATTTTTAATTTGTTCTTTGTCTTCTTTCAATAGAATGTAAGTTCCATGAGGGCAGACTAATTTTTCCTGTTTTGTTTGCTGATGAATTCCTGGCATCATACTTTTATCACAGTAGCAGAACGTGAAATACTGGTGGACTCAATGAATGAATCAGCCAGGCACTCTGTGACAGATGTTGGGGATAGAGTGGAAAAAAAGACAAATGCTGCCCTGCCCTCAGGAACCTTATAGCTCACTGGAGGAGATGGGCATTAAACCACAGTGCATTCAACGAAATTCTGCTGAGTGTTTGCAAGTATGGAAAGGTAGAATTTGTATAGGATGTGGGCAAGAGTTGTACCTGGTTTTCATGTTTCTGAGCCATGTCTCCACCAAGTCTGTGGTCAAGTAGTCTTCAAGAGCGAGGTGGTCACCCATTTTCTCCATGAGGACCACCAGCATGGTGGCATTTCCTTGGTAGGGCAGTTTGAGGACATGACAATGAAAATTCTTGTCAAAGGTGGAGGCAAACTTGCCTGCACCATACATCATGGGCACCTTAATGGTCTTGTACTTGTCTAGGTGGAAAGTGTCGGCTTCGGTGAAGACAGGGTCAAATGGGGTCAGCCATTTCCCTGAACAAGTGAGAGAAGAACTCATTGCAGAAATCCCCTCTTTGAAAAGCATTGCTCTTGCTCAAATAATAAAGAGGGAACCTTCTATCTCACTTCTCATTCCGAGGCGTTCCCTAATTGGGTTTGCTTTTCCACAGCTCAGGCAGGCAAAATAAATTTCCCCAAAATAGCTTTTCCCCGGCCTGTAGCCCAGCTAACAAAATACAGCTCCACTTGCAGGCCCTATTGGGAATCGCACACGAAAGCAGGGAAATGTTTCCTAACAATCCCTGGCTTCCCTCATCGTCCTGGACCCGAACAAAATCCACAGTCTTTCCCTCATAGTTGGCTCCAGCTTAGAGAAAAGCCTTTGCCTGGCACCTCTGACTGCCACTTTGTCTCATTCACACCAGGCACAAGCACATGCAGAGTCCAAGGTGGCAGGAGTGACACTTCTCACTTACCCACTGTTTAATGTAGTTCTGAGAGAAGGCCCCACAATGCAGAGGCCACCAGCAGGCAGGTACATGACTCTCCACACAAATGTCTGCCCTGGGGGTGTGGCCTGGCTGGTTGTAAAGTGGCTTCCGCTGCCGGGGCTTTGCAAGTCTGGTACCAGCTCTGCGAAAGTGGCATCCAGCCCATATCTAGTACCCCATTAGGGAGGCAGGGCTGGACAGAACCTAGGATCAGGAGGTCAGGAGGTTCTTGTTTGGGTTTTGCCTCTGCCACTTACTGTGCGACCTTGATCAGGCTAACTTCTCTGAGCTGCTTTGATCTTTAGAAAGGAGACAACTCCTGCTCTACCTGCTGATTGGCAGTTAGGAAGAACAAGTAAACCATAGATACTCAGTGTCTGCTATGTGCCAAGTCCATCTGGGCACTTTACATTCATTGTCTCATTTAACCTCTAACTCTGTAGTAGGTGGAGTGTCGCTGTTTCCTATAATAAGAATCTAAGGGCAGAGAGCTGGTCAAAAAAGTAAAAATGAAGGAGCAATGATTCACTTCTAAATCCCCCAGATAATCCCCCCACCCCCCTCTTTTTGGAATGACCCTGTGCTTCTAAACGTCAGAGGGGAGCTGTGTAGAGTGCTTTGAAAATTATAAGGACTACAAGCACATAGGATGCCAGGGCAGGGCCTCAAGTGACAGCGTCTGGCACTGTTCAATATGTGTATCAATCTGTATTTGAAACCTGAAAACACATTCATAGAAAATCATTTAGCGTTAACCATATGCTGGCCTAACGGAAGGAAAGGGAGAGACAGTTGTAGGACCCTGTGGCCTTGGGAGAGCAGAATATTATCAAAGTACCTTTGAACCAGATGTAATCCACAAGAATTAATTTGGTTTCAGGATAAATCTCGTCAAACAGTTTGGGAATTTTCCCCTGAGTCTCTTTGTTAATGTAATGATTCATGAGCCTTTTGGCCTGTGAGGCATTGTGAAAATTCATAAGCACACACTCTGTATCAAAATACCTCTTGGATAAATTGAGGAAGAGCTCTTTGACATCAAAATCCTTGTGGATGAAGGCAAAACTCCCCTGTGTGAGGCCCAGTTCCAAGTTGTGGGAGAGGGTCTCTCTGAGTCCCTTAAAGAGGGAGGGCAGGAGCCCGGGCTTGGTGGGGTTCAGGGCCTGCAAGTGGAGCCCTGTCTTGATCTGGGCTTTGGTCGGCCCTGTGGCCCCCAGCATCAAACCTGCCATGGCCAAGGACACGCCAAATGGAGAGAAGACCATGTTGCCATCGTGCCTCATGGAGATCTTTCGCAGCAAGCTGAATCCGAAGTTTGAAGTCTCCTTGGCAAGCTGCTGCCCACTAGCTATCAGCCAGGCTTTCTCCTCCTCACTGGCCTTCTCGCTGGCCTCCTCCTCATCCTCCTCTTCCTCCCTGGGAGCCTGCACTACCCCGCTGGTCTGGTTCTGAGGGGCCGGGGCCTCTGGCGACTGAGGACTGGGGGCCAAGCCGGGTACCAACCACACCTGTGCCAGGAGGACGGAGAGCAGGAGGCTTGGCACCACCTTCATGTGGTCGGCTGCAGAGGTCAAGGAGTGCCTCCCTTCAGCTGCCAAGACTTCCTGTCGAGAGAAGAGGATAGAGATGATTTTAATGCCTCCTAAAGTGTCTTAGTGGATAGTAAAAGCTTCTTCAGGGACCCTGCCTCCTTCCTGTGGCTCAAGTAGGTTAGCCCTGTCCCAGGGAGACCTGAAGCAAGTGTGGGTGACATTTGCTCACCCAATGAGGGGACATTATTTCACAGAGCAAAACCTCTAGTTCCCATTCCCTGCCCGGCTGTCAGGCAGCTCTCGGTCCTGACCCCTTTTTTATTCATCCCATCTCCTTCCTGAGGGCTAGGGCAAGAGACCCCGCTCTGGGAGCAGGAGGCAGCACAGAAGGTGGGGGTCTGCGCAGGTGGAATCAGGGGTCCTCACACACCTTTCCCTGATCTGCTTCATCCATTGCCCTGACCCTCCGGCCATCAGGCTGCCCATCCAGATGGGTGGCCGGCCTTGCCGTGTGCCCTGTTTGGCTGGGGATTGGAGTGCCTGCATGCCTGTTAGGCAAAGAGGGGGGAAAGTATTGGAGCTTCCCTGGATTTTTGATCAAAATTCTCTTCGCACTGCACCTCTGCCACACAGTTCCTTGGAGGTCTTCCTTCCTTCCTATAGCTGCGGCTCCCAGGTAGCAGGAGGCCCCACAATTCATACAACCCACTGCTGGGCTCTCTCCACTGTGGCCTCATAGAGCCCTCCCAGCCACCCGGGCTGCCTGCCGGCTCTCACTGCCCCCAGCTGCACAGCGTGGGAGCCACACTTCCTCACCATTCGCTGTCCCCTTCTTCTCTGTTGCCTTTTAGGCTCCCTCCACATCCTTGGACACAGAGCCTGGCTCCCAAACACTTGCGTGATTTCCATCCAAATACATGGCTTGGGGCTGGGCTGGGCCACCTGGCTGTGTCCCAGCTCAGTTCTGGTGTTCAGCCACACTGCAGGCCAGATCCCAGAGGCTGACTGGGCAGGACCCCCAGGACACCTGCCCTCCCTCATCCTCTCTCTGGGCCCACTGCCCTGGGAGGGTCTGCATGGGGTCAGCCACCCAGCCCAGTGAGCACAGGGTGGATGCTGCGGGCCTCATGAGAGTTCCCATCCGCAGAGACCCTTATTCTTGACCAAGGTCACTTGCAGCAAAACGTGACAGGTGGGGAACTCCCAGGCATCTTCTCCCTGATGCAGGGACTGAGTCCTTATCTATGCGTGGGACAAAACTGCCTCCAGCGCCAGGGCCCAGCATGTTGCTCCTTGTTTAGGCTGAATGGCACCCCAGAATTCAGGGCCTCACTCTGCAGTCTGAACGGCACTGCCCTCTGCCTTAAAGAAGCAGTGAAATACTTCCACTGTGTTTCCCAAAGGACACTGTTGAGGAAACTCTTTTTGACTGTAAATGGCAAGCCTGTGTTCAATAGGTCACTCAAGTATTGTAAACGTTGGGGAAATAGCTCTTTCAGTGTAAACGCAGCCCAGTTTCATGCTTTTATTGTTATGGACTGAATATGTCCCCTCAGAATTCATAAGTTGAAGCCCTAACCCCCATTGTGATTGCGGTAGAGTTGAGGCCCTTGGGAGGTGATTAGGTTTGGATGAGGTCATGAGGGCAAGGCTCCTGTGATAACAGTAGTGCTGTTATAAGAAGAAGAGAGACCAGACTTCCCCTCCGCACCTCCTTGCCATGGGAGGACACGGTGAGAAGATGGCCATCTGCAAGCCAAGAAGACAGCCCTCCAGAATCCGGCCACACTGGCACCCTGACTCGGACTTTCAGCCTCCAAAACTGTGAAAAATCAATGGCTGTTGGAGCCACCCAGTCTGTGGTGTTTTGTTAGAGGAGCCTGAGCTAAGACGATTACGTGGCATCATTTAATGCTACTTTCTACATTAAGACCACACAGAATACTCCTGAATTCAAGGTTAGTTCTCCCTGTCACAGTGGTCAGGAAATTAGCCCAGCACGCTAACCAGATGTCACCGCTTCCAAATGCTGAGTCTCACCTTCCTGTGCTTGAAGCTTGTCCTACAGTCTGCAGAGTGGTAGCCCAGTAATTCCTGGGCACTCCTGAACAGGTATCCCCTAAGGTCTTTGTAAGGTCTTTGCTCATCTACCCAACCCTTTGGAGTCTAGGCCAGGAGTTCAGGGGGCGCTCCTGGACTAGGACACCATCCAGCCTGGTGAGGACGCACCTTCCTAGACAGAGCCCAGGCAGTAAGGAACCACCAGCTCACGCACCACTTCTCAGCCCTGGGAGAGCACACACCCCCTCCTCCCCTCAGCCCTGGGAAGGGGAGCCCTGCTTACTCCGGCAGTGAGTTGCGGTGGGTGAACTATCAAGCCTTTCAAGCCTCTTTCCCTTGGCCTCCTTCCTGCAGAGGATCCCCTTGTGTCTATAATTCACCTCTCACCCACTCCAGCTCCTGGTCTGTATGTGCAGTCCCCATGGAGTGCAGGATTGAGGCCTTTGCACTGCTCAGCCACGCAGCCCTCACGTTGGAGCCCACCCAGAGATGATACCATCTCTCCCAGTCCCTCCCTGATTAGACTCGTTGAAGGTCTCCTGTAACCCACTACCTCTTACCAGTGTGTGGCCTTGGGTCCTGGAAATGTCCTTCATTCAGAGCAGAAACCAAAGCTTCAGCTTTGCAGCCCAGAACCTTCAGCAAATATTTGCTATTCCAAAGTATGATTCCCTATGGGACGGTTACTGATTAACATCCTGCTTGTGATGGTGGAGTTTCTGGAAAACCAAAGACCAAGTGGGAGGCTTCCCATACTCCCCAGCTCCTCCTGTAACCCAGAATATGACCCAAATCCCATCGCGAGAGCTTCTGCCTTGCAACTCAAGGCTTCGCCCCAGTAAGATTCAGCTCCTTCTGGGTGGCACGTTGGGGATTTCTCTTGAGCTGTTCTAGGTGCTGAACACCTCGAGAAAGAAGGCACTGGGGGATCCCGTGTATGCTTCCTGAGTCCCCAACCCAGTACTGGACACTGAGGGGATGTAGGTTAGGGGGCACAGCAGAGATGTTCAGGACCTGCTCTCTCAGCCCTCAAGTCAGTCCAGTGTGGGAAGCAGACAGGTAAATCACTACTTAGAGTACATAGCTCCTTTCAAGGTAAATTTCCTGCTTTGCAATGTTTCTGTACTTGAGACTGAATCCTTGGGTACTCAGAGTTGAGGCTGGTGGAGACCCTTTATGGGAAAACTTCTCAGACTTCACAGACTCTCTTTTTAAAAATATATAAATAAGTATTTTGTTATGTGCCCCTTACTACTACCCATGAAGTGAAATGTATAGCTAACATAACCTACCCACAAAATTAAAAAAATAATGCTGTAACGATAATGTGTAGGCAGAATAAAAGAGAATAATGTGTCCCTGAATATGGCAGTGCTGTGGTCTAAGGGCCTGGGCAGGTGCAGTGAGGCCACCCAATATGGAGCCTGCAGGAGGCCGTATGTAAGATGCTCACTGCTGGCCAGTCAACACGACAACCGATGTTACTACCAGGGATAGAGTTTTCGAAATGGTAAATAATGCTTGGTAAAGTTTCAAACAAATAAAATACAGATCTTTCCCTGATTTACACGGTCATTGTCTTCACAGAAAATGCAGTGTGTAGTAAAACCTTGGATAAATATTGTATTTTTATATGAAACAAAGCAGCCCAGAACTGAGAGTCTAGGCTCAGATAATGCCACGTGAACTTGAGGTGGACATGTGAGTCCTGGGGGACCTGGCGGCCTCTTCATCGTGGGAGACTATCCTGCGTGTTCTGGTATGTCTGGCATTGCTCACCCTCAATCCTTAAATGCTAGTAGTACTCCCCACAAACGTTTGTGAAGAGCAGTACTATCCCAACAAGTTTCCAGAGTGTTCCTTTCGGGCAGTACCTGCTCTGTTGATAGGCAGTTCTTTAAGAGGTGAAAGTGAGGGTGTAGAGGGGCCAGGCTGGACCCATGCCATGCATATGAGCCAGCCTTGGCCTGCCCATCCAGGTCCAGCTCCGCAGCTGAGGGATTGTGGATTCACAAAAAGCAGGGGCTGCTTCCTCCAGGCTTGGGAAGGTGTCTGCTTTGCTAAATGTCTGAGCGGAGCTAGCGAGTGTGCAGGTCTTAGGGCACAGGGCTTTATTTATTTATTTATTTATTTATTTATTTATTTATTTTGAGATGGAGTCTTGCCCTGTCACCCAGTCTGGAATGCAATGGCATGATTTTGGCTCACTGTAACCTCCGCCTCCTGGGTTCAAACGATTCTCCTGCCCCAGTCTCCCGAGTAACTGGGATTACAGGTGCCGGCCACTATGCCTAGCTAAGTTTTGTATTTTTAGTAGAGACGAGGTTTCACCATGTTGTCCAGGCTGGTCACGAACTCCTGACCTTCTAATCCACCTGCCTCTGCCTCCCAAAGTGCTGGGATTACAGAGGCAGGAGCCACTGCGTCCGGCCAGGGCACAGGGTTTCAGAAATGGATCCTTACAAAGGAAGGCAGCAGAGTATACTGGAAAAATTGTGAAGACTTCAACCAGGCCATTGCCTCCTGCCCTGGTGTGAATCTGAGGTCCTCCACTCCCAATTCCTAGCTGCTGGGATGTAAGTTAACCTCACCAAACCGGCCTTTCTTCCTCTGTTAAATGGCCAGAACTCAGACTCTGCCCTATGAATATCTCAGCAGCACCAAGGAACCAGGAAGTGCGTGGACGATCTTGCTCCTAAGGCTGTGAGCCCTGGACCCCAGGGTGTGGCTCAGAAGTCCCCCTCCTTCAGCGACGACATTATTCCTGTACACCTCCCAGCAAGGAAGCCAACCACTCTTTGACCTTTAGCCCTCCAGTTAGATGGGAAAGTGAGAAAACTCAGTGCACAGCACTGTAGCCTGAGCTCTTTCACCAGCAGCATGACCCTGAGCAAGCTACCTAACTTCTCTTAGCCTCAGTTTCCCAATCTATAAATTGGGGCTCCCCATCCTTCTGGAAG